ATGTCTTAAGCGTCTTATGTGTTGCGTTAGCATCCACACATGGGAGAATGCAAACCAAGAGCGGATATTCGGCTGGCTCACCTCGCAGGGCGTATTGCACGGCAAGCTATACCTCACGCAGGATGCGTCTGAACTTGGCAGCAAAGTTCTGGCAGACTCGAAGTTGCTGCCTAGATCACACATTCCACCTTCGCAGACTGCAAGTGGACGGACGCGGAGAACACAAGAAGCAGTCACATCCATGATCTTGAGTCAATGGCACATCCTCCAGCTTGTTGAAGGGCGGATAGTGGCAGTCAATCGCCTCGATGATACAATCGTGCTTGACCAGAATGTGTTGGAGCCTGGACAGAGCGCGTTAGGTCTTGTCGCAGATCTGAAGAAGAACACTTACTGGTTATTCACTACACAAGAGATCTTTGAAGTCGTCGTCACGGATGAGAACAGGGACATTTGGAAAATCATGCTCAAGGCGCAGCAGTTTGAGGCTGCCTCACAGTACGCCAAGACCTCTGCACAAAAGGACGCAGTTGCAACGGCTTCTGGTGACTACTTGGTGGGCAAGGGGCAGTACATGGAGGCTGCCGCAGTATATGGCCGAAGCACAAAGCCTTTTGAACAAGTGGCTCTCACTTTCATCGACAACGGCGAGCAGGACGCCTTGCGCAAGTACTTGCTCACGAAATTGTCAACACTCAAAAAGTCTTCCATCATGCAGAGAACGATGGTGGCTACCTGGTTGATTGAACTGTACATGGCGAAGCTCAATATCCTCGACGACACAATAACCACGAGGGCTGAATTGTCGGAGAGCATGAACACGGCAGAGACGCACGATCAGTTGTCCGCCATCCGAAAGGAGTATCAGGATTTTGTGACCAAGTACAAGGCGGATCTTGATCGTAAGACGGTGTACGACATCATCAGCAGCCACGGGCGGGAAGAAGAATTACTCTACTTCGCTACTGTCGTTAACGACTACAACTACGTGCTCTCGTACTGGATACAACGAGAGCGATGGGCGGAGTCTCTGAATGTGCTCAAGAAACAGACCGACCCCGAAATTTTCTACAAGTACAGCAGTGTGCTGATGGGACAGGTCCCCGTTGAACTCGTCGATATAATGATGCGACACTCCAACTTTGACGCACAGAAACTCATCCCGGCCTTTTTGAGCTACAACAACCATACCAAAGTTCCGCTCTCTCAGAACCAAGCGGTCCGCTACCTCCTCTTCGAAATCAACCAACGCAACTCTACAGATGCTGCTATCCACAACACTCTGATCTCCGTCTACGCCTCCCACCCCACGACCGATGAATCCGCATTACTAGCCTACCTTGAAGGTCAATCCCAAGCCCACGAGCAAAACTACGACGCCGACTTCGCCCTGCGCCTCTGCATCCAACACAAGCGCGTCCAATCCTGCGTCCATATCTACAGCTCCATGCAACAATACGCCCAAGCCGTCGACCTCGCCCTCAAATACGACGAAATCGACCTGGCCTCGACCGTCGCCGACCGCTCGCACACGACGCCGGCGCTGCGCAAGAAGCTGTGGCTCGCCATCGCCAAGAAGGTGATTTCGCAGTCCTCGGGCATCAAGACGGCGATTGAATTCCTGCGCCGCGTCGACCTCCTCCGCATCGAAGACCTGATTCCCTTTTTTCCCGACTTTGTCGTCATCGACGACTTCAAGGAGGAGATTTGCGCGGCGCTCGAGGACTATAGTCGGAAAATCGACGCCCTCAAGACGGAAATGGACGATTCTGAGCAGACGGCGGCGCACATCAAGCAGGACATCAAGGCGCTCGAGCAGCGGTATGCGATTGTCGAGCCCGGGGAGAAGTGCTTTCTCTGTGGCCTGCCGCTGCTTGCCCGTCAGTTCTTTGTGTTTCCCTGTCAGCATGCGTTTCATAGCGATTGTCTGGCTAAGCGGGTGGTGGAGCTTGCGGGCGTGGCGCGTGGGAAGCGGATTCAGGAGTTGCAGGTTGAGGTGTTGAAGGGGGTGAGGATGGGCAAGGGGAGGGAGAAGGTGGTGAGGGAGTTGGATGCTTTGGTTGGGGGGAGTTGGTGAGTTTTTTTTTTAGTTTCTTTTTCCCATTTCCTTTTCTTCTTGTCTTTACTTTTGCTTTCACCTACCTGGCATTTTTCTACTGCGGCCTACTTGTGCACAGAGAGACACAGAGGGAGATGCATGCGCTAACTAACAACCCACAGTGTCTTGTGTGGTGAAATGGCGGTCAAATTGATCGATGAGCCGTTCATCAGGCCGACGGATGATAAGGCCGAGTGGGCGCTGTGAAATCCGCCCAAGCAACCCAATTTAGACGTCCTCAGAGTGGGAGGTCGTCGCCTACATAGCTCCCCCCTCCTTCCCCGCCGTTTTAGACCATTCAATATAACCCCAGTCTAGCACAAGGAGAGGCTGCAAAGGTTCGGTTTGAGCGCGGGCTTCGAGGGTTGGGGAAGTTGGTTGGGTTGTTGCTTTTATGTGTTCTGTGACTGGGGAGTGAGGGGTTTGCTTGGTGGTTCTGTATCATGGTTGTTTGGTGGTAAGGATGCTGGCTGTGGGCTGTGGGCTGTGTGTTTGTAGGTGGCGGGCGTAGTTTATCTTGGCGGGTGATGGAGATGGAGATGGAGATGTGTGCGTGTTGATGTTCGTGTTGGATGTGCGATGTGCAATGTGCAATTACCTATTACCCATTACCCATCCCAGACTCCCTTCCCTCACCCTGTCTTATCCTTTGTGCGTTGTGCGGCCTAGCTTTATTGAATACAACCAACACGCGCCGGCTTTGCAGCCCATGGGGATTTTGTGATGTCTGAGTGAGGACGGGGAGTTGAGATGTGCGGGGATGTGGGTGGAGAGAGGAGCGGGGGGGCGGTTGTAGAGCGTGGACGGAGAGCGGAGAACGGAGGAGGGGGGAAAAGGGGGCGTGGAGGAGCAGAGAGCGGGGGCGGAACCGGGACACTTTTGATTCGAGTGTGAAATAGGCGCTGTTTTGGAAGACATTCTAGCCGTCATGTGTATACTAACATTTGCTTTTCGTTTCGTACAAAGGTTGGCTTCATGTGTGTTTTCTAGGATTGTACGGGTATGATATGTTGGTCGTGTGGTTTACCGAGGGTGTGGTTTTGTACCATGAGGGCTGGGGTTTATCAAAAGCTGTGGTTCCATGGGCATACCGGTAGATTGAGATAACTGTAAGTAGTGTATGATATCACGTGCGCCGGCACATGTGCGAATGAGTGACATCTTGCTAGGATAGGATGCTGGTATTGTTATGAATTCGACCTGATTTCGTCGGAAGGGGCTGTCGGGTAGGGCAGTGGACATTGCAGATAGAACATTTAGTGGCGGACATTTTTTCATACCAGGACTCACTACAGTACAAAACCGGTTTACAGTAGCCATATTTATCTAAAGTAGACCAAGAAGTGGTTTAGGTAGAAGAAGTAAACCTAAATAGGGTTTATTATACTATGTATTCCACAAAAGTAAACTACTTTTATTTCTACTTCTATTAATCTACTAGTATTAGTAATAACTAGTTTCCTACTAACTATTTAAGTATTTTACCCCTCCTTTCTTTAATCTTCTTTACCACCTCTATCACCACCTCTACTACCACCTCTATCACCACCTCTATCACCACCTCTATTATCACCACCTCCTACTAGTAAAAATATCATGACTTATTATTATGTCATATGTGCGTATAGCGTGAAGCTAATCTTTTCTACCCCTTTTAGTCTTAGTTAGGTATTATAGCGTATAATAGATATAAAACTACTTTTTATACTTAATTTAAACCACCTATAATAAAGTAAACCACCACTTTAAACCTATTTACAGGTATACACGAGGTCAGTTTACACCTATATAGTAAACCCCTAGCGTACCATTCTACAGTAAACAATTTTTTACCGTAGTGACTGGTAAGTACATGGGAGGGTATCCGGGCTCTTCTTTGCAGTACGAGGACTCCTACTATAGAGGCTCCAATTGATTATAGTTGTCTCTCTGACAGTAGATGACGCGACTGTGTAAGAAGACGTACTCATGTCACATACACAGTACGCTACTGGAAAGTCTCCCTGCTTGGCATGATCCAGAAGCCCCACTCTCACTCACGAATTGCATGTAAGAGCAGCGTACGACTGCTCCGCCTGTTCCTCGGCGATCCTGCACGTATCGAGAGGGTTTTGGATGCCGAGCCTTCCGATGGCTCATGAAGGTCGTTTTACTACCGCTGCCTTATAGTACTGCCGTAGTATATTCAATCTGCTTACGGTACCTCGGGGTACTCTGGGCAGGTACTTGCCAGCTGAACGGCCGGTCAACACGGACGGAAATTTTGTCACGTCAGCACAGGTTGCGGTGTACGTGCACGGATCGGAATGAAGTGTCTTTTTGTGCAAAGCCTTGCTTGGTTCCGTTCATACTACATAGTGTGATTCTACAACGCCAAGTTTGGACGGGATCTAGTTGGGCGTTTCCTTGTTTTTAGAACTATTTTTGATGCGGTTGTGGCTATGGTGTGTACATAGTCAACTGGAGCTAGGTACGTTCGACGCGGCTCCGCTGTACCTACTCAACGGTAGGACGAGCTTTGTGACGCGGCTGGCTGGTCGTGGACATGCGTGTTGGTACAGGAGGGCAGAGTCAGGTACCTGTCGTGTGCAGAGTACAGCCTCGTAAGCTTGCGATTGAACCCCTCATCATCAGCCACGTTCCGGCTGCGGACTGATGATCGTTGTCTCATTCCATTTGACGAGATGCTGTTCTTCTCTTTGACGGACCTGACGGGTAGACCATGGCAAGCACGGCCAATCCAGCAAAAAGCAGGTTGCACGAGAAGACGTCAGCCCGGCATTTCCAGAACTCTGCCTTCTGCTGTACCTTCATGGATCCATGGCCAGCAAAGTCGTTTATCAAAGCTGGAATTCTTGTCGTGACGCGTTTGCTTTCGGTGGCTCATCGGCCTTGGTGATGGGAGACTTTTGCACCATCCATACATACTGTGTATGTACTGAGGTAGTAGATGCTGCACAGCCTGTCCGTCTGGATGATCACTCACACGTGGTGTTCTAATAATACCACTGGGGAGATGAGCGTCGATGCCAAAGTGTGCCGTAGTAGGAAGACTGAATGAGGCTTTGCATACCAAGTGTAAGCTACGCGTCTCTTGTCGATGCCCAGTGATGGCTTGCGCGTCAGCATAGACCACTCTCAGCCTCAGTTGTCGAGCAAGTCAAACCGAAGAAATGGTCTTCCCCAGCTGCCAGCCTGCCAGCGCCAATTTCTCCAGAAGTCGCGGCATTACCGCATTAGCGGCCGAAGCGTCGCATAGCCTCGCACCGGTCTTCATCTACCTGGTCGATCTTTCAACCTAAAACACGTGCCACTTGGAGATAGGGACCAGTCGGAAACTCTCACCATCCACAATTGCACCGACAGAGTCTTGGAGAGGCCGTAGACCGCTCCATGGGCACGCAGAATTCTTGAGCCGACTGCGTGTTCTGTGGCTTGTACTGGCTGGACAGTTGTCGCGTTACCAAATCCCGGGCATAATGCCAATGCTTGGCGCCGTCACGAAACACCGCGATGCTTGCGACGCTCACGACAGAAAATGGCACCAGCGTGACTCTGACTGGATGTGTCTGCAATGGCCCTGCCCATCAAATCTTGACCATGCTTGGATGTGGCACCACACTGCTGGCGATCATGGTTCACCGAAGGCAGTATAAGTCTGGGGCCGAAGCACCAGACAGACACCATCATCATCACATCATCACATCTCGACATTTACCGACCACAACATCAACGCTCCATTCAAATAACCCACAAATCTCTCAATCAGTCCGACCCTAGAACGCCAACATGCTCTTCCAGAAGCTCGCCATTGTTTCGGCTCTTGCCGCCCTCGTTGCCGCTCAGGACATCGGTCAAGACGACATCCCCAGGGAGTGCACAGCCATCTGTGCTCCAGTAGTCACACTTGCCAGAGACTGCGACAACAGAAACGGTATGTTCACATCTCAGAACCATACCCGAGATCATGGATACTAATCGGGACCCCAGAGAACGACCCTGCTGAACTCGACTGCGTCTGCAGAGCACCCGGCGCAAACACAATGATCCCTGCCTGCGATGCCTGCGTCGCCCAATTCCAGCGTCCTGACGTTGACGACGACAACGACGACATTGTCCCCGACGTCAATGGTAAGCACGATCCTCCCTAGCAGCCAAAATTGCTCTGTCGTCAAGCATCCAACTAACAGACCTGTACAGATGTTCGTGAGGTCCTCTCCCGCTGCAGCTTCACAACTGCTTCCTTCAATCCCGCTGCCACTGCCAGCTCCATTATGCAGTCAATCGGCGGTAACATGTCTGCTCCCACTCCAACTGGCGGCGCTGTCGTTACCACTACCTCTGGTGGTGTCGTCATGACCACTACCCTCGCCAGTGCTGCAACCAGTGCTCCCCCTCAGCAAACTACCAACGCTGCTTCTGGTCTCCAGGCTGGTGCTGCTCTTGGACTCGGTGCTCTGGGTTTCGCTCTTGGAATGTTGTAAATTACAACATGCTGAAATTATGTTTTTAAGCCAGGAGTTCAGAGGGGTGCAGAGATGGACCTGGATGGGCCGGGGCATGAGTAGAATCTCAAGCATGAGTTTTTTTCTCTTTATATGAATGGGGATGCATCGATAGGTCAGCGGCTTGAGGCATTATTCGGATATGATTATGAACAATGCACGTAATACTCTATTTTTTGTACCTTTGGTCTTTCGCAACATAGACTGGCGTTATGCTGATGGGCACGACTGAATAAATGCAAACAAGGTTCACTTCATTTTTTTTTCTGAGCCTACTTACCATTCCTTTCCTTTACTATGTAGTCACACATCCGGGTTCCCGCGCTTACATCTAAACTGCAAAGTTAATACCATTGCCGTAGCTCGTGCACGGTGCAACTAGCTAGCAGAGGCCCGACTCGGGCCGTCCATAACTAAGCTCCGCGCATGGCGGGTGCCGTGCGATCCGGCGTTATGGCTTACGAGGGCATCGTGATGCTTGTGAAGAAGTTTGAATTAGAAATCGGGTGGGGCTTGGTGTTTAGGAGGAAGTGTGGAGAGTGGGACAGTGACTTCTATGTAAGTGGGGCTTTTGGCTGAGTGGATTATAAGGTGTATGACAGGACGGGGAATACCTATGGGTGACAAATATCTTGGTGAGTCTCCGCGTGGTGGCCGGAGGGTTGTGCATGTGTCGGGTGTAGGAGATGTCATCATTGTGATTTACTTAACCGTCGGTAGTGCTTTTTGACCTTCATATCATGGAATGACAAAGTTGAAAGAGTTGATTAAATTTGTGTCTGATAACACTCACGCGCTTTGATGTCGAAGACTTCCTCACTGTGACTAGCCTGTGGT